CCACAATCAAACCCTGCTAAATGCCTGTCTTCTTCCCTTGTTTAATCTCTGCAATTTTACAGACCCGGTGTGTGAACAGGAAATAATCATCTGATAGTTTTATCAGTTTAAGATTAGCTTCTACTCTGTGAGCTGGAAGAGTGAAAACAGATGACTCTCTGGAATTGTTTCACTTAATTAAACAGTAAACAAATTCACCAGCATCAGACGAAAAAAGGCAATTGCCTTCAGGATAAAAACAATAAATCCTTTCCACTCGATGGCTTTTAAAACGTAAACTGTTCTGGAAAATAAAAAAACCCTTCCAGAAGTTGGGAATGCTATGAAATATTTAATTTAATCCCAACTTTAGTTAACAAAAATGATTACACACCACCAACGGTTATAATTCAAAATGGGGGGGGGGGGAGGGAGGAAGGGCGGTTCACGTCTTTCCCTAGAAGCAAACCACTGTCTCAGGACGTGCTCCCCGGAGGTCAGGCAAGGGCACGGGCCAAGCAGGGAGGCGCCGGCCCCGAGCAAACGCTCCGGGTGAGGGGCGTTGGTGAGGGGCACGGGGCCCTGAGGGAGGTTGTCGGCCCCCTGGCACTGCTGACGAGGCCAAATGACCCAGCAGCCTGAGAGGAAGCCTCCCAAAGAGACCCAGGAACTCGCGGTTAGGAGAAAAAAGAACCCTGAAGCCAATACCTGGGGCACACAAGCAGTCCTTAGGGATGGGGGGCGCTGCGGAGCCCCGCGGCGCGGGAGGAACCGTCGGTGAGGACGCCAGGGGTCCTCGCGCAGATGGACGCACGCGGTGGGCGGGGCCACGCGTGGCGGGCGGGGCCGCGTGCTGGTGGGCGGGGCCGCGCGTGGTGGGCGGGGCCTCTGAGTCCAGCTCCCACCTCCTGGTGATTTGGACCACTCGACTTCGAGCTCTTTCCACCCTCTACCTCGCGCTCAGGCTCCAAACTTGCGGTTCTGCTGCCCCAAAGCCTGGGTCCTCGCCGCCTGCGTCCCCGTCTCACACTCTCATTGTCTCAGCTCAGGTGTCCCCTCCTTGGTGAGGTGTCCCCTCCTCTGCAACCCATTCACCCCCACACGCTCACACTTAACCACAACACCCTGCTTCGTCATCAGAAGGATTCCTATCGGTTTATCAGTTTCCTTGCGCTCCACCAGAAGCCCCGTTTGGGCAGTCTGCTTTATCCACAGACACAGCCCCTGCACGCGCACGAGGGCGTGCGCGCACACACACATACACAGAGACAACAGCAAACTGCACAGAGTAAGCGCAGTATGTGAACCAAAACAATATCGGCGTCACAATCTGTAAGCAGTGGCTCGGGTATTTTTACCAACGTTTGTGAATTATTTGCTTTTTGACAAGTATTTAATTTTAGGATTAGAGCCTCCTTTGACCCCCCTGCAAGCCAAGTGCTCCTGCTCAGTGCCCAGTGCAGCCTGTACGACCCACACTGCAAACCTGTACACGAAATATTGCAGTACGATCCCTGCCTTAT